CACTGAATATAAAAAGGTAAAAAAAAAATGTAACCTGATGATGGAATGAATATATGGACATTTGGGCAATCCATCAATTAGTTGTTGAGACATTTCATTCATACAACAAACTGTGTGTGCCTGTTTTAGGGATTGCCTACACATCCACACTACTGCATTGCCCGGGGGTGGAAAAATGCACCACAACCATGTCAGAAATAACACGGCTCCCCCACCCCTCCAGTCTCTCCCAATGACACCCGCGAGACTTCATACTCATTTGAGTCTCACCTGAGACGTGGAATCATGGGCCTGACTGTGCTAATTATACAGACACTTTGCCGCCCCGGTTTGGCTCGGGAGATGTTCACCGTGGTCTCTCGGGAGTTATTGCCGGTGCATGTTGCTACTTACGCTGAAGATGCTTCGTTGGGGGACCGTTTAATCTATGAACAGCAAAAATCACAATACACAAGATGTCACTGGGAAAAGATGTGAACGACTTCCACTTCTGAACCAGTTCAGTGCGACAGCAAATACACATTATTACCATAGAGGATATGAATAAGTTACCCGAAATACTGTCAAATGTCCCTGAATGTTCTGTTGGCAGCAGCGACAGCCAAAAGTCAGCCTGCAGGGTAATAACGCATGACTGACAAATAAATAGAATATATGCTTCGATTTTGTCGACTGGAAATGTAACAAGAACAAAGCTTCTAAATCCGTAGTCATACTAAAGCGGTAAAGGCAGCAACTAACAGTTATTTTCATTAAATATTAATCTGCCTTTTAAATTCTCGATCTAACGATCAAACATTTGTTTAAAAAAAATGCTTAATATTTAAATAAATATAAAATATCCAGCGCAATATCCCAGTGTTGACAAATGCAAATAAGTTGTTTTGTCAGATTTTTCAAAAGTTCCAGTGATCATTCAAATAGCTGCCAATTCTAATTGGATGAATAGATTATTGACTAATCGTTTCAGCACAAAACACATTACAAACTACTTAATAATCACACCCCAGGTGTTAATCAGTGTCTTAGTGCTTCCAACAAAACAGACCCTTACAACATTGCTGTGAAGATCAAAATGTTTCTTATCTTTCTTAAAATGTTTCTTATGATTAACCAATAAGGCCGGTGGACTGACTCTCTGGGTAGCTAATAAGTTGCACAGTTGCTTCTAGCATCTATAAGAAAATGACAGGCTTGAGAGTAGCAGCCCGTAGTAGGAGCTTGTAGTGTTGTGGAATAAAACATAATGGTCTGAATGGTATTATTTGTACCTTTGTCTTGTTATTGCCTGTTTTTTTCTCTCCTTCATACAGCATGTGGACCCCTGAATGAGTCATCTCAAAGGTCCATGACCTGTAACATTTCAGGTAATGTGTGTTTTGTCCTCTCCTCCGCTCTGGATGTTTTTCTAACGTCTACTATTACTTTGAATCCATTTTCCTTCTTCAAATCCTATAAACCCCTCCATAAGAATGTATAAAAGAAATACTGAATACTGAAAATAAAATCTCTTCTTTGCAGAACACATATCCATCAGTAAACCAATCACAACACCCTGATAGATCTGTCCATGCCTATATGTGTGTATTCAAACCACGGGAGAATGAAAGAAAGCAGATGAAAGCGTTTGAGTAAAACGATCATTGTGATCTATTCCCATTGTGTCGTATCGCACCACATCTAATACATTTCCTGATGACGGAAGACAAATGCTGAATCAGATTATAACTGATATAGAGAATGTTGAAGTAACAGTGAGTGAAAGAGTAGAAGAGGAGGACGAGGAGGAGGAGAGGGTCTCGAGGACTAATAACATTTGGGAGGCGTCATGAAGAAATACAACCCGCATTAAACCCTCTTAATCACCCTCTTTTAAATGAGATACGGTCTGATGACCAGCTGGAGGAAAATTGCTGGACCATAACTCAAAAGTCATAGAGCACTGACCAAACTGCTAATAGAAGATCCTCATAATACGGCAACACACTGTATAGCAAGGCAGACTGAAGAACCCCCATAATGCTAACTGGCTGTGACAATGCCAACTACTTCTTCAAGCTTTATGCAACAACAGCTTGTGGGAAAATATGCCAAAAGCCATCACTGAACATTCTGGAGCTTCTTTTGTCCCGGTAATTGGCTCTGCCGCCAGAACGGACCGGTCTGTCTGCTGAGCAGCTCGTCAGGATCTACATCAGGAGCCTGGTGTTTGTTTTAAAGCCATGTGTTTAAGACATATTTCAGAAAATGTAATCTGTTCACTTGGAACAGAGTTTTAAAACCGATCGCTTCGACTGTTGTCCGAGCCGCCTGGTGGGAGGAGACAGACTGAGATATCATATCTGTACTTCTGTAATGCTGTCCCTGTCTGTCTGTCCTCGTCCATTGCTAACAAATAACAGACCGGCAGTGCCCTCCTGGGACAAGACCCACCAACACCAGATTTACTACAAAATAACTGATCAATATAATCATATATGGGTTTTCTAGCTTTCCAAGACCATAACACAAAAAAAGTTTCTTTTGTCCAATTCATTTTCTTATTTGTTCTCTTGAATACATATGTAGAATACACTTATTGTAAGTCACTTTGGATAAAAGCGTCTGCTAAATGGATAGCAACAATAAGATCTGCAACAAATTGAAAACAATGCTTGGCTGGTGGAGTAATTCTACAAACTGCATTGTACAGACACGGATTTTAATTATCCAATTATAATGTAAAATGTAGAATAGTAGTATGAAATCTACAATCCAAATGTAAAACTGATCCCCCTCCTGAGCCAAAATCCCATCTTTCATGAATTAAGAATGAGCAGGAATGCCTTTAATTTGGGTTTATAAATGAGAACACTATTGACTTCAATTGTTACATCTCCCTGCAGTTGCTCTTGTACTGCATGTATTTCCTTAAGTGATATTGCGATAAAATTAGGACATCAGAAAATATCCTAAGGCTCTTGGCAAGCTGGGTGAACCGAGTGCATCTGACGACTGTGTATCTTGAGCCAGCGAGTCATTTTTTTCAGAGGCAGGCGTGTAGATGTCCAAACTGCATGAGGTAGTTCAGTATCAAAATGATGATATCCTGTGACACATACATATTTCTCAAGTGTACTGCGAACACTCTGAGGTGTTGCAGTTATTTGATATCTAAAAACACTTTTCTGTGTACACTAGTGCAGGTGAGTGTGTGTGTGTGTGTGTACTAAAGCCTCATATCTCTCTCCGTCTCTCCCCGTTTTACACAGATCAATCTCAACTTCATTCACCATGTTAGCAGAATAACTGCCGTATCAAATTCATAAATATGAATAAATGTGCCTTAGCCGCCGCTCAAAGATCTCATCGTTAGATATTAAGAAAATCTGACATCTAATCACTGATTTCAAGACAGAAAATCGCTACTACCCTACGACGTGTAATGTACTTACCCTGAAAATATCATTATATTTGGAGAATTAACCAAAATTGCCACTAATACGTCATGTCTACTTGTCCCAGAAGTGATGGAGCAGCAGCCCTTGGTGGATGTGACCCCCCCAGAGGTGACCACCGCTGAAGGCACGAGGGACTGAGGTTGACGGATTGTGGCAGATCACACCCGTGACAAAGTGTGAAGACGCAGTGTGAAGTGTAAATCTGTGCGTGTTGTCTTTCTGATCGGTGACAGTGCGGCTGCTTGTCAGCGGCTGCCATCACTGGCCACAGCTACAGCTCCTCTCACAGTTAACTGTCATCTGCATTAACAGGGATAGACCGGCCACAAGGACACAGCAAACCTGAGTGTGTGTGTGTGTGTGTGAGAGAGAAAGTGAGTGTCATGCCTCTCTCCATGCATAAATATCTATGTGCGTGCGTGTTAGTGCCATGAGCAAGAGGTGTAGAAGCTGAAAACTGAGGGTTTCCTTTGATGTGTCGGTGAAATTAACGCTCACTGTGGATCCTTTATGGCCTCGCTGAGCTCCACGAGATAAAAGCACATTATAGACACAACGTTAAGGTGTTTTTGCCCTGATTATATACTGGGGCTGCTCCCCGGTGGAATAAATATGCATGCAAATTTGTAGGCTTGATAATATCTATTCCCACACAATGGCGTGCTGTTCAAACATACCGGGGGCATCAAGTGCACTATGCCACACATGCGAACTACATTCAGGATTGTTTTCTGAACAATAAACCCCAAAGAAATAAGTGTTTTTAAATTCTAATTGAGGCAAATTTTGTCAGTAAACAAATCTTTTCATCGTGGAGGCATCTGACACCTTGTCATAACAGGCAGGGAAAATGTGTAATTATTGCCTTGTGTCTTCAGTACGACGTTGACAGTCATAATGACATACTCAAATTTGTAAGCTTTGTGTAATTGCACGCCATTACGTAACCCGCACTTTAGTACAACTGGTGGAAAGCGTGACTGTGAGGCCCGCAAATGGCCTCTCTTATTTGCAAAACCCACCGACAAACTGGCACTTGTTAGCACAAAACCACACAAAAACCTGTCCTGGTTGGCTCCCAATCCCAACAAGATATCAGAACTGGCAACCCTCAGTTGTTCCCGACCCCGTCGTTACGGACTCGCTCAATGAAACAGCCATGGCCTCTTTTAGCCTCTTCTCTCCCACAATTTTTTCTATCTGGAAAAGACATCCCTTCGACCCCTCCCCTCTCCTCTTTCTTTTATTTATCACATTTTCTGCCCCACAAAGGCCTTTCAAAGAGGCAGAGAATCCCATCAGCTGTTAACACGGCGTGGCCAGTGGCCACACAGGAAGCTTTAGATTCCTGCTGGAATGTCCCGAGCTTTGGAAAACTGCCAAACTCAGTGGACACAATGTTGGTGTTAAGAGCACAATAGCGGGGCTTAAAATCAATCCGGCATGCAACGCCGCTGCTGATAACGTCGTTATCTTAATGTAGTGGTTACCCGCGAGCTGACAGAGACTTTAAAAGCGAGGTAAAAGCAAATGATGAAAATTAGAGAATGGGTTTCTTACCGAGTTTAGGTCCAGGCTTGTCTGCACCCACTCCTTGGCGTCGTTATATTCTTCCATCAGTCCCATAATATATAGTGTGTCCAGTGAGTCAATGATGGAGGCTCCTCTCAGGCCACCTGCAAAAATGCACAAGAGAACTGAGTTAGTGCCGTATCCATATATGATTAACCTGATTACATTTACACCTGGTATTAATATGTGTCTTCAGTGTCCACATTGAGATCGCTCTGTCTGAGAGGGCTGCGTTAAGCAAGGGCTGGCACCGAGACATCAGCCTCCAAACGCTGCCGTTTAGGGGGGGAGAGGGTCCGTAAACGTGACTTTGAGGTCCCTCGAACCTCGCACACACAAAAGGAATGGGGAGAGGAGGTGATGAGCACAGACAGATCTCTCCGGTCAGTGACCCAAGGAGCGCTGAGAGCGGCAAGTATACGCTGAAGGTTGAGCCCTCGACCCCCCCCACCCGGTCGAAGCTTTGAACATTCGCTGAGCATAAGAAACGGTGCTCTGACAGCCCTGGCGTTATGTATTTCTGCCCACGTAGTTGTTGTATGTGGATGAAACGCAATTGCATTTACATTTGTGTTCAGTACGTTCACAATACCGACCACACATTCAGCTTCAATGCATTTTGTGGTCAAGCACTATCCAATTGCATTCCGATCACTCAAAACGCATTTTAATGAAAGGTGTAAATGGGGTAAGAGATGTGTGGCTCAGGAGAAATGTTTTAAACTCCATTGGTAACACTTTCATTTACATCCATGATATCTTTACATCATATCATATGTAGGCACATGTGGTTTCTGGACATTTCACATGTAAAACACATGAATTTCCACACAACATTGATTTAATTACATACAAATATATGATTACCTGGTTGGCATATGTCCTATTGTTGACAGATTCAGGGATTAACAATTGTAATGTTGTTGTATTTGTTTACAGCTACATTATAGTGTGTTATAAACCATTTATTAAGTATCTAGAACATACATATGAATGCTTAATGGTGGAGGTGTAACAAAAACAACCATTGAGAAGACGCAGCGACGATCACATGTCAAACAACAACGGGCCACCTACTTTTTCTACCTGGGTCATTAACAAGACTTTTCTCTCTCCACATGTACTAGCGTCTGCTTGGTCTTTACATAACTTGAAGTTCTTGTGTTAGAGTTGCAAAGTGATAGCAAAGTGATAACAGCATGTTGTGTTTTGCTGTATTTGTTGTAACAGTGCATCACAGTGATGCTAAGCTACAGTACTTCAATCACTAATCCTTGAGATGGTGAATGAACACACCCAGATGGTGTTTCCTTTGTGGAAACTTTCCACAATGCCAATGTGTGAAATTGAGAAGAGTAACACTTGTAAAAGGAAATTAAGCAGTATACAACAAATAGCTGACTATTAAATGAGTTACTTGACTGTTACATAAGTTGTTGGAAGGTAGATAAGTACTCAGATTTAACCCCAAACCTTTATGTGTCCGATTAGCAAACAGCAACTTGACAGCATCCGTGATATAAAAAAAGTAAAAGATGAAAGTCCTTCATACAGTAAGCTTCTGTAATTGTTGTAGTGATGTTGAACGATAATACTAAAACAGCTTTGAGTGGCCCAGATGAAAAGCATCAGCTACAAAGCATCGATCACTGTACTGTAACATGAAAGTCAAGTCATTTAGGATTCGACCACCAGAGGGGATAAAATAACTGATACACTTTGATTATAGTAAACATTGAACAGCTGCTGCTGGATTAGTCAGTGTATGTGTTCCCTTGGTTAATTCTGTGTGTAAATGTCGCATTCACGGTGTTTAAAATCTGTGTGTGTGTGTGTGTGTACAGTTACTCTTAATGTCTGTCTCTATGAATCTCATTTGAAGCAATTCATTTATTTTTAAAAACTAAATGAGACTAAAGGGTGTATATTCCATGCTGATGGCCTTATGAGAGATTGCATGGCCTATTTTCATTCTCATATGACCAAATAATGAGCCTCCCAGAGACAACTAGGCACAAAGGAAAAATAAACATTATCCTTAATGAATTACTGTGAAAGAGTTAAAGGGCAAATTGTGCTTTGTAAGTTTAATAACAAGACAATGTGACTAAATAGACTGTGAATCTCACTGCTCTGGGGCTCACATTGAAGATTACTAGAAAAAAAATGTGGAAGCTGACCTGATTAAATGAGAAGTGATGAAAAATATTCATGCTCATCCCTGAGAATAACGTAGCCAACAGTAGATGGCTGGATTGATCTGACGCAACCACACGGCAACCTGGCACATCAAAGTCCTTCAGCTTTCATCAGGAGTTATTGTTACAGCTCAGCAAACGTGCAAATGATAACCAAACCTTTGGGTGACAAAACTCTTGCAGATTTTTCCGGCTTCTAATTCGTTATACGAAACGATGCAGGGCTGCAACTGATAATTACTTTTAGTTTAGTTTAATCAGTTAATTGTTTAGTCCATAAAATGTCAGTATAAAAGCAATAGAAGCCTTTTTGCTTAATTCTAACAATAAATGATTTGGTCTCTGCTGCTGTTTTCATGCCGTGAAGCCAATAAACAGAAAATAATAAGCTGTTGTTGAAGACCTTTCTGTCTGTTAACTAATCAATTGAGTCACTAATTTTTTGGTACTAAAATGTTGCCTTTATATTCAAATGATGCACAGCTGAAGTGACCGAAACAACAAGCATCAAACTCCTTCACTGCCAATCCGCTCTACCAGACATGCTGTTCATATAGTATTTGTAGCTGCCCTTACATGACTACTATCAAAACTCGGACCACCACTGCCCTTTCACCTTATCTTCAAACCTTCACGGATTAGCTGATGAGGTTAGTCCGGCTGCCGAAGGGCACGCAGGACAGGGGTCAATGGCTTGGCTTCACTGGATGATCGGCGCCATATGCTTCGACCATAAATCCCGTACTATTAATAGTCTAAGAGGCAGAAACACACTGAAGCTCTGTGCGCCTTCCAAATCACTCGTAAAGCCACACAACATGACCGGAAACTGATTTCTTCTCATTAGCTTTTTCTTTTTTTGTTACAGTTGCCCCCATACCAAGCTCGTACTCCTGACAAAGTTGCCATGTCATGGCTTTGACTATTCTGATTAAATATACAAAGCATCCCCACCCTTTGAAAGCTCACCTGCTGTAGTTTGCCTGCTGGCAGTTCATCTCATACTGTCAGCGAGGGGGCAGTGCTAGCCTGAGGCAAGACACACAGTCCTCTTCCAGTAACTCTAGAGGACCATCTGCCCAGGCTGTTAGCCATTGTCCTAGCACTGACTGTATTCAGTGTCAAATGTGTTTTGGTGGATCAAATCAGAAAGACTTCCTGCTTCTGAAAACCTAACAGAGGAAGTAAGGTACTCAAATGTTGACTCTATTGTGTAGGAAAGGATTTTTTTTTTTTTTCAGTTAGCTTACCCAGAAGCCTTATCGCTTCTCGATGACAAACAGTGATGCTGACAGCTGAGAAGGAGTGTGTATTCATATATCTAATGCACTCTGGTTATCCAACCCCAGAGGTAGCCGAGCTCTCTGTGGCCGCAGGGAAAGCAGCAGAGGGTGGAAAATTCCTATTGAGAAAAGCACCAAAGCTAAGATGATTGGTTGACTCTGAGGACAGACGGAGCGGATCAATCCATCATGGTGTACTCCTTCAGCTTCCATGGTCTAAGACCCTATTTATTTCTGTAGCCCTTTTCTACCAATAAAAGGAGCCTTGAGGGATTCTCTGAAGACAGGGTCAATATGTGTGTATTTATAAAGATTGATAAACATGATCAATTGCATATATGTTAGGGAATTCCCACCACTGATACAGAATATGAACTATAGGGCGGGTCTTGTATTTTTAGCTAATAAATGTGTGTGTGTGTGTGTGTGTGTAGGCACGCAGAGTACATAGCAAGGCATTAGTAAAACATTGGCTGGTGGATGTTCATTCATCATGGCTGTCACAGGCCAGTCATTGTCGGTTAGGGGGGTTACATTAGACGGCGAGAGTCCGTCCGATCAATCACACTGCAGTCCGTTTGTGTGTTGTGATAATACTTGCCTCGCTTTCCCCTCATCTCTTCTTCTCCAAACGTACACGCATGCACTCACACTACTGATATCTGTATGAGGGTAAACCCCTCCTTTAGTTAATCCCTCAAGGGGAAAGTTCAGAGGCAACATTTCTGCTCTAATTTCATCTAACCAGAATAAACTGTGCGACGTGCATGCAAAATATATGCCGATATTCCTGAAATGCCATCAGATGTTTGTCACAAATTCCATTGACTCGGCACATTAAAGATGCAATAGAGTAAACCAGATAAGAATAACACGATTTCAGAGATGAAGTGTTTCAATACACCCATTGGGAAAACAGGAGTAAAATCAAAGCTATATGCGTCTTTCTCATTTGAGTTTATGAGTCATGGCACAAACAGCCAAAAGAATAAAAAATCAAATACATGTTCAATAAGTCACCCTGTTCACGTCATCAAAGTGAATATTATTCATGCAGACGCTGTGATGCACATTAATTACACTGCCGTGTTACTAGCGGTTGCTTATCAATTGCCAGTGCAATGAGCATCTTGTTAGCACTAATGCTATCTGGCACCAGAGCGACAGGGTTAGCGAGCTGCTGTGTCTGTGTGATGTTAACGATGTATAGCTGTTTGCCATTCGAGGCACGAGGTTAGCTGCACAGATAAAGTGCACTGAGGAGATGACTCTTGCAGGTGAGTGGATTTTTGATGGAGAGCGCCAATGGGGCAACGGTGGGAGAGAGGAAAGTAGGTTTAGAGGGAGCGGGATTAGGCTGGATTAGGTGAGCAGAACATGAAAAAGGGCAGGTTGAAACCGTGTGAGAGAAATGTCACGTCTATCAATCAAGATGGACCTTTCTGGAAAAGGCTTTCAATGCCAACTGTGTGCTTTAGTCTGTTTGAGGAGCAGATGTCAGATGAATCAAGAATAATCAACAACCAACCACATCATACATTTATTAGATTTATTCTAATCAGTCATTGTTGTTGTGTCGTCCTGCTGATAGTGGCATCAGATCAGAAAACACGGCTTTATGTC